TACTACTGATCCTAGTTCTAATTGGTTCTGATGTATATTAATTATATATAGTTTCAAAACACAATATTTCTATCAATTTTCACAAAAAATACTGGAATTCCGACCAAGAAAAAGCTTATAATTATAAACAACTGCCATTAATTGATCAGAACAGATCATATTGTTAAACTATAATGTTCATTTCACCTAAAAACTTATTAATATAAAATCTTATTTAAATTTGGATGAGCGATTGTGTTTTTAAGATGATTTAAAAAAAAAAAAAAGATTCCACAGTCTGGGTTTTTTCGCTACAAACATTTATATTTTATGATACCGCAAAATTTATTATTTTAATTTTTTTCGTCTTTTTATAATTCACAGACCAGACCATTTCCCAAAAATTTATCATAATCAACAAAATATCATACAGACGCTATAATATTTTAAAAGTGTCTTAACTACACCAAGCAGTGCTTTTTTGTTTCAACTTCTATTTAAGAATAAATATTTATTAGGATTAAAAGTTTGAGGCAAAAAGTTTGTTTCGGTAATATGTTTCAGTAGTTTCTTTAAGTCCAGTAATATGTTGCAGTAAATTCAGGTCCTGTTAGAATGAAGATCACCATAATCATTCTCCTGCTGGTATCATGTAATGATGCCAGTAGCAGAATGATCATAATGATCATCATGACTTCAAGAAAAAATAAAAATATCTGTTGACTAGCCTTACAAATCTTCTTCATCTAACAACCTAACAAAAAACATCTAACAAAAAAAATGAGTAGCCTCCTCGACTGTAGTGGCCCCCTCGGGCCTTGGGGAGGTAAATAATTATATATAAAAAAAAAAACCTGGTGTAGATGTAAATCTGTGTTATATTGTTTCCTGCCTATAATTATGAATGCTAAATTGTCTCAACTCTCCTAGTAGGTTTTTACTTTTACTTCCTTAAATTTAGCTGGTTCATCCTTAGATATTAATGTTGATGGCTATTACCTTACTTTTGATTCAAAAGGACTCCAATAGTTACAGGCCTGGGTATGTATATAGTTATCAGTTTAATGATTTCTCATAAAATCAGGTTCGAATGTGTTCTGACTATTCTTTTATGTACTTTTACCGCTTCACTCAATCACCTTTCTTTTTGTTTTTTATCATTCTTCTCCTTTCAAAGGCTGCACTTTTTCCATGTCTTTGATCAAATTTATAGTGTCTTTTCTTTTTATCCATCAACCAAAATTGTTGTTATGGGTGACTGAAGTGCTTAACACTGTAAATGATATTTTTATGGATTTAGTACTACTGACTGGCTTAAAAACTCAAAATTTATCGATCTCTAAAGGAAACGGTTAACTTTGTGACTTGTTTTCCAGACTTTTAATCACTTACCTTCATGCTTTGATATGTTTCTACTTGTGCAGCTATATCTGATTGAACTTATTTCTTTCACAAAATTTCCACAAAAACAATTTATTGGAGAATAAACATCTTTTTATGACACAAAAAAAAGCAAAATGTTATTTTCTATATTATTCTCAGATTACAAAATATTGCATTTACTCAAAAATTAGGTTCCAAAAAACTTTTGGAAAGTTTAAAACAATGTTTTTTTAATTATCTTTCCTACATGATTCTGATTATATTACCTCTCCAAAGAATAAATCTACATAGCATATCTTCTGAAATAAAATAGGAGGTTTAGTAAACTGGTAATAATAGGACTTAGCATAAGACATTTTTAATTATAGTTTAGCATAAGACTGCACATTTTTACATTGATTTCTTACAATAATAAATAACAAATAGGTGTTTGTTCTCAAGAGAGTTGTTCTTTTGAAAAAAATGAAAAAATGATTACAGTTAGATATAGCGCTGTATAAGAAGGTGAATACCATGCATTATTACAAGGCTCGACTTGATTGACAAGAAGGAATAAAAGCTTCCATACCTGTCTGGATCCAGGAGGTTACTAAGTGTATTTATCAGCAGAGATAGAAAAGATATCAGCCCAAGGACCATCACAAAAAAATTCAATAAAAAATCTCAGCTTTATGGTAATAGTAAGTAGTGTGATTGGTGAGTCCAAAGTATGAAATAAAAAATTTATAGAGAACATTGCATTGTCAAAACCACCTGAAGGAGAATAAAGATAAACTAAACACAAGCTAGGGTAAGTGACAAGAATCAAATCAAGGCAAGTAATTAGGGTTGTTTGGAAAATGACCCACAAAGTTAAATATCTGAGTATGAGATAGTTAACAGTGGTGTTAGAGCCAAGCCATTCAGTGTGATGGGCATTTAAGTCCTCAATAACAACAATATTGGCAGATGAGTAAAGAAAAAAACTTAGTCAATTTGATTAGAAATAACATCTCACAGTCGGGAGAAGAAAGAGAACAATAAAAAACTAAGAGAAAATGGATAGAATGAAGAGGTACTAAACGGAAGCACATAAAAAACTCTTTAGCGAATTCAAACCTGATTTTTACAACAAATAGGTGAATTGATGCACATATAAACATGTAAGCCAAGCATGAGGCTATTGGAGTCACTTAAGATTAGGAATCAACGAATAGCCATCAATACTGAGATCTGAAGGAGGAACTGCCTAATTTAATTTAGTCTCACAAATAACAAAAAGTCTGGTAAATTTTCAAAGAAGTTAGATTGAACTGATAGGAAATTACTTCGAAGACCACTAATTATTGTAAAAGATATTTTTAGTTACTTTGGGCATGGTTTAAGTCAAAGAGAACTTGACTCATTTCAATATAGAACATGGTATCCTAGACAATGAGCTATGCAGTCTTTTTAGTCCTAATAATTAGCTCAAAGTTGTAACTTAGAGCATTTTATGTGGCCTTGACAATTCATACTAAAGGCACGAATAGTGACACCATTTATACACAAACATGGTGCTGGTATTTTTACTCTGATATTTTACAGCTGTTAAGAAATTAATCAGGAAAAAAAATCTAACGAAATACCAGAAATTAAGTAGTGCATAAGTTTTATAAATCTAAATTAATGACTTCCTGGTAATTTTATCTTTAGATTGGCTCTATTTGCTGATAACAACTATATTTAATTCATATTTTAATTGTTTTATTTTAGTTATATTTTAATGAATGCTTGGGATTTGTACTTTTATTTATTTGTATGCTGATGTACTTTAATTGTACATCTATGCTGCTGTTTTTAATAACAATCTTTTTTTTTTTATCTTTCCAACATGTATCTAAAGAATAAAAGACTTTTTATTATTGCAAGAAATTCTAAATATTATTACAATATACGCTAACATAGTCATTGGCACACTGGACAAAGCTATTCCTGGACAATTCAAACACAGCATCAATTTCTACAAAAGGTTCATTGATGGCATTTTCTTCATATTTACAGGCTCTATAGAAGATCTGCATCACATTACAACATTTATGAACAACTTGACTTTATGGACCTAACTGTCTACAAAACCCATCTAGGACAAATACAGAGCACACTACACCGAAAACCCACCAACACAATAAGCCTCCTTTGTTTCAGTTTATACCGCCCATATCACATCACACCAGTTCTCATTTGTAGCCAAGTAATGAGATAAAATAGGCTTATATCTGACCCTCACTAACTATCCAGGAAATTCCGTTACATAGTGTTTTAGGGTATAATAGGTCTATTATTCTCAGATTAGTAAATATTTTATCTCAGAAATTAGGTTCTAGAATTTTTTGGAAAGTCTGAAACAATGTCATTTGTGTCAGTTTTTACAAAAAATGTCTACCATTTCTTTTACACGGGTCTGATTATGTAAACCCTCCAAATGATAAGACAAAACTATCTGCAAAAAACTTTTCCTCTACTTCATCTCTTAGTGTATCTGAGTAATTTTTTAAAATTATTACTTTTCTTACCACACTATTAAAGTTGTCCTCTAGAAAAACACTCACTTGTTGCCACTTTTTTATACAAGGCCAAAAATGTCTTGTATAAAAGTTGCTGGGACCTGTTTGGACCTGTTCTAGCTGCTAAGCTTGTGTCTCAGTTGCATCATCGTGAGATTGGTATATGAGATTCTTTTTCTTTTTTACAAATACTACCATAGTTGTTAATCAAGAGAGCTTTTAGCAATTTTTTTTTATTTGAGTGTCATGACAATTAGAAATGAGTTGTAAACAATAAATGACTGTTTTGCACTGTTTTTTTATAACACAGCATAGTCAGTTAAAGTACGGCAACCATTAAATAGTTTTAAAAATAACTAAAGAATTATAGATAATTACAGAACCATAGGTATATTGTTAACATAAACTTTTCTGATATTGCAATTCTATATGAACTATATTACATATATATATATATATGTATATATATATATATATATATATATATATATATATATATATATACATATATATATATATATATATATATATATATATATATATATACATATGTATATATATATATATATATATATATATATATATATATACAACCCTCAGAATTAGGGTTGGTATCCGGCAATGCCAACCTAACTGCCAACCTAAAAGTGTTTGAGGTCAGCAAATATTTCCGACCTTGTTTCTATGTTTTATGGTAAGACCTTTGTATCAGTTTTTTTTGCCGACCTCAAACACTTTGCCAACCTCTAAAAGATTGAGGTTGGCAAATTATTGCCGAGCTCATTTTTGCTAATTCTGAGGGTTGTATATATATATGTATGTATATAAATATATATATATATATATATATATATATATATATATATATATATATATATATATATATATATATATATATATATATATATATATATATATATATATATATATATATATATGTATATATATACATATATATATATTTCAAAAAATATTTTCAGTTTTGTTAATAAAAAGTTTCCAATAACTTAATCAAAAATAATATTGTAATTGTTTAATTTTATTTTATTTTAATGTTCCAGAAAATAAAAGGAAATCTATTGTATAATAAAATACTTTCAAATCATTTCACAGGAATTGTTTATGAGGGTCGAAGTTATGGAGCAATTGATTTTATTTGCAAAGAAATTGTTGACTTTGTACACATTTGTAAACATGTCGAAAAAATTGAATGCCATTTAGCGTTTGAGAAAGCATCCAAAGTGTCAAAATGTTTTCAAAACGTGGATGTTAAAAATCCAAATTGTGGACATTCAGCCACAATAAATTGTTATCAAACTCAATTATTGCAAAACGTTACTACAAAAAATCCAGTTAATGAAGTTAAAGAAGGGCAAACTTCTTTGGTGTATAATAGTCCTATTCCTCACTACAAGTGCACATCTGAAGTTTTATTTTACCGTAAATGTGGACATACAGAAAAAATGCAGTGTTATCAGGCAAGAGATGGAAATATTCAACCATGTCAAATATTTGTAGAAACTGAAAATGCAATTTGTGGGCATAAAATATCATTACCTTGCCATTTGTTATCTGAACTAAAAGACTGGCTACCATGGAAGAATAAAGACAAAAATATATATATTTTTAACAACATTTTATATGATGATTGTCCAGTTCCCATTTTTCCATCTAATCAACTTTTTAAATATGTAAAAAATTGCAAAAATACAATAGTTGTTCAAAGAAAGAATTGTGGTCATCAATACAAAATAAATTGTGGAGTTGCTTTTAATGAACTGGATAAAAAAACTTTACGTATCTGTGATGAGTTAATAAATGAAGCAATTTTAAATTGTGGTCACATGAAAACAATGAGTTGTTCATCATATACAGCATACAAGCAACATCCTGAAAAAAACTCTTGCACTGAAGAAGTCATCATGAGCTGCTGGAACTACGAAAATTGTAAACAACAGGTTGTAACAGTATGTAACAAGCAAAATAAATTATATAGTTGTAAAAAGTTAACAGATTGGAATTGCCTTAATGGTCACACCATTCCTAAATTGCCAATATGTCAAAAAGGGTTTTTATCAGAATGTGCTGAATGTATGTTTGAATTTTCCAAAAACTGTATTATAGATGTGGCAGAAAATTTAGATTTACTTGGATTTCTTCCAAATGAGTTGCATCCATTTATCTCTAAAAAACTAGTCAGCAAAGAATGCTTAAGTGATTTTTTGTTTAGTCAAAGTCAATTAATTGAATATCTATCAAATTGGCTATCAAAACAGAAACCTTTAAAACGTCCACTAATTGAACTTATGTATATTCCATGTTTTATTTGGTTAGCTGAACATCAATTAAATCTTGAAGTATATACAAAAAATATTTTTACAAAGGCTTCAACTTTTAAAGGTATTCAAGTTTGTGAATGGACACTTGATAACATTAAGAATTTGATAACTGAAGCAAACAAAAGTAAAGAAAAATCTCTGGAGCTTATTTTTGGAGTAGCCCTTATATGTAACACTAAAGTTGTGTCTGAGCAAATCACTAAAAGTATTAAAAATAGCATAACTGGATTTCAAAATAATGTTATAAATTGTGGGTTTGATAGTCTTCAACTTTGTTATAACAAATGGGAATATCTTATACTGTGGGATCCTTATGTATTTGCTGCTACTCATAAGTTAAAATTTCAAATTTCACAGTTAAAACATTTTCATGATCAGCTCCATCAATCACAAAATGCAGGTTTGTGGATAAAAAGGAATTTAAATCAAAAATTTCCTCAGCAATTTATTCCACAGGATGCATCTTCATTTGTGATTGAGATAAATGCTAAGAAATTTTCTGAACAACTTTTAAAATCAAATATGATAGCTGAATATGATGGTATCAAATTTCAAGTTGATTGGGATGGAAAGAGTCTTGGAAGGCCTGAAATATTCAATGAGCATATTCAGAAAGATTTAAAGAGTAAACTCCAGTTTTGTGCCTCTAAAGGGTAAATTTTTGTTTTAATTAATGTTTATGAACGTTTCCTTTTTTTATTAACATTAGTTTGCTACTTTTTGTTTTGTAAACTTAAATTGTATGTTAATTGCAACAATAAATATTTGTCTTGAATTATTATTCTTTTTAGTTTGTCTGATAATCAAGCAAATTTGTTTTCTGGAATAAATTATTTAAAAAAACTTCCTGAACTTTTAAAGCAAAAAAATCTTCCAGAAATAAATTTACTTACTTCACTAGAAAAATGTAAGCTTGAGTACTTTGACGATGCTGAAACTGAGCTTAATAAATACATTGAGTGTGTTAAAAGAAAAAAAGTTCTACTACATCCATTATTTTTCCTTGCTAAATCTCGCATTGCATTTCATAAAAAAAATATAGATGTTAGTAGGAACTTTTTAAACCAATTTTCAAAGTTTCATTCCAAGGCTTTAAAAAAATGGTGTGAAGACAAAGAAATAAACTTATTGAATGATGAACCTGATAGTAATTCGCAGATTATTCCCATCGTTAGTAATATAAATGATCCAATATCAAAATGGAATAGTTTGAAAGATCAAGAAGGAGTTACTTCTGCTGCCATGGATACACTCGTTAAAATGACTGGCCTAAAAAAAGTGAAGGAATTTGCTATTGATTTGTTTAAGTTTTCTTTGAAGTTTTCACAGTTGAGCACCGAGGCAAAATCTGCCAATCAAAAAACTTTGAACTTTTGCTTTCTTGGCAATGCTGTAAGTTTAAAATTATTTTATAAACTTGGTATGCACATAAAAAATGTTATTATGATGAAAATTAATCAAACTTTTTTTTTTGTACTTTAAATTTTTTTTAATTATAATTTGAATCATTTAGAACTTAAAGTGATATATAAATTCACAAACAAGTGAAGTTATTAAAAAAAGTTCAAAATAAGCACAAATATTTTTTAAAAATGAAATAGTTTGTTTTTTTAAAATTTCCTAGTATTTGAAACATCATAAAATAAGTATTAACAGATAAAATGGAAAGATTTAAAAATATTTCATTTTATTTACTTTGACTCAAGGATTTATTTAGTTTATTAGAAAGATCAACTTTTATCAATCTATAAACTTTTATCTCTAAATGGAGAAAAAAAAAGAAATATTTATAAAGCTCATGATTCAATGCTATTATGATAAAAAATTATGATAAATATTTAAAAAAATATTAACAAATGAAGTTGAGATAAAAGTAAAGTGGATATATGAATAACCGATAAATGAAGGATTTAGTTGGAGTTTAAGTTTGAAGTTTAAAGATGGTTAATCTGCAGTGAATAAGGTTTGTAGATCAACAAGAACTGATAGATTGCAATTGAAATCAGCTATTCATTGGGCTCAGTTAGGCAAGGCTGACAAAATTTATAGTGGCCAAAAGTTTTCAGGTTTTAGGAGGTGTGTATTTATAGAACCCACATTGAGTAACCCAAACTTTGATATTACACTTTTCATCACTCTAATAACACTCTAATCAGTTAATATACAGGGTAGGTGACTGGTGTTAGGAACAAACTTGATATCTGTAACATACTTGTCACTGACCAATTATTTGTTTCTGAACAGTAAATCACTTGAGGTCAACAAAATATTTTGAAAAGTTAATAAAAGACATGTCTCTTGTTAACCTGGGTTCTTATTAAAATGGGTTGATACTTCTATAAAACTTAATGAAGGTTAGTTTCGGTTTTATAAATTTTTTTTATTTTTTTATGTGTTTTACATAGGTGTTTATCACTTTTAAACAATACTCCTTAAATGTTAGAAAAAATATCATTTGTTTTAAAAATTTTAAATATTCAAAACATTTCAGAAATAGATTCTCACATGAGTTTTTTGCTACCTAATATCCAAAGAAAAGATAAAATAGATTTTCAAGATATATAGTTTTACTAGAATAAAAGGCTTTGTTAAAAAGTGAGAGGGTCTAATTAGAAGAACCAGCCTAAATATGGAAACAAATTACATACAAAGATATATAAGAGATTTATATTATTGTAGTCAGAAGTAAAAAAATGGCAAGCACAGTAATGGCAACCTAAATAGTGCTAATAGTGCAATAAATAGTATATATATGAGTTTAGTTTTCATGAGAGGTCAGTAGTGAATGATAATCTGCAAAGGCATGAAGTAGAGAATTCAGCAAGAGTGTTACTATTCATTAATATAAGAATATCTACAACACGGCAATAACTATTAACAGTAAACAACTGAGTTTTGTTAAAAAGTTGAAAACATTATTACTATTAAAAATAGCTACTGTACAAGAACAAAGTAGAAAGAGTGTGACAAGACTTAATAAAAGCTTCTATACCTGCCTGAATCCCAAAATATTTAAGTAAAAACAAAAGACATCAGCCAAGGACCATCATAAAGAAAATTGAGAAAAGAATACATGTTAGCTTTAGGGAAGTAGTAAGAAAATGTAATGATAATCTGATGTAGAAGTAAAATAAACAGTGCTTTCAATGTTTTGTTTACTGCTGATGTTGTGAGATGGTTTAAAAAAAAAAAAATCGATTTCTTTTTTTTATTTTATAAATTATCAAAAATCAATTCACTGGTGCATAAACAGGCATAACACTCACAGAAGTGTTTTGGGCTTATATTTGGGGAATTAAGCCCACTTGCTTGGGTTAAAACAAGATTGAACACAAAAAATTAGGAAGTTCAACAATGTGACTAGGCTCAGCCATGTTCTAAAACTTATTAACAGACTGTTAACAAAGATTTGTTTACCACAAGAAAAAAGTGGATTCACTTAAAGTAATATGCAAACATTTTAAATTCCTTTAGAGAAACAACATATTTGACAAAAAGATATAAATAAATTTATTTATATCTCAATCATTACCTAGAGAAACATAAGTTTACTTTTTGAATAACCTGAAGTCTTTAAACTAGAATTATTTGTTTTAATAATAAAATCGAATTTGAAAAAAGTAAAAAACCAACTAGGGTCGTTTCCACACTTACTGTGAGTTTAACAAAAGTTGTTATAATGTGTTAGATTAATCAAAAAGTAGAAATGCATTAGAAATGATTTTTTGCAACTGTCAATGTAATACTATAAGGTTTAGTTTAAAATAATTCTCACTCTGAAATTTAAATCATTAATGTACTTGTTTTGATCAAACTTTTAAAGCGCAGTTTTCAATACTATGTAAGTGTTTCACACTTATTGTATATATTGTCAAGTAAGAGGCTTACTTGCTTTTGCAGGTATTTTGTCTTCCTGCTACTTAAACCAGCATTTGATTTTCATTTAGATTTATTTTCTTGATATTAATAATATAATCATCTTGCAAATATCTTAATAATTCACTTAAAGACGAGCCCTTACAACTAATTAATTTATTTGAACATTTCAAACACTGGGCTTGTTTGCCTGCTTTTTCTTTTGAAAAATATTTTTACACTGAATCAGCCATGATTAAAACAATGTTTTGGCGATTCTAAATAAAAAAAAATTAAAAATATTAGAACAAAGAAATAAGTTTAGGGGTTAAAGAAAATAGTAAGTATATTTTAAAAATTACTTAACTTGTCAGTATGTGGAGAACCGAATGTTATTCAAAATTTCTTGAATAATAAGTTTAACTACAAAAATTTAAAGAGTAGCTAGCATTTTGTATTTGAAATTTATGTGTTTGTTTTGAATCACGTTGTACAAGCTACTAAAAAAATTATGATTTGATTTTTTATTTTTCTATATTATAGGTGACTTCTAAAGTCAGATTATACACATTAAATAGCTTTGTGGACATTAATATATTTTTATTTTGAATTAATAATTATCCTAATATAATTAAAAATAAACACAAGTAATTCTTTGATTTTAATTTTTTCCAGGGAAATTATGGTAATTTTCCAAGGTAACGGGAAATATGAAATGTAAAATGTAAAAAATGCTTGAATAATTTTGAAAATGAAAAGATATGTTAAGCTTTCAAGCAAAATACAATTATAAAATAAATATTACTTACAAGCAAAATACAATCAAAATTATGAAATAAATGTTTAATTACTTACAAATTTGATTTTTTATACTTTTCTATAATAAATAAACATTCAAAAGACATTACACAAAAAACCCTGCTGAAACCGTTTTTGAAAACCAACGGTTTTTGTTTATATCGGTTTTGTCGAAAAACTGCAGTTTTTGGTTATCGGTTAAAACCTATTGGAAACCATAATAAAACAGAAACTTCAAACTTCTTCAAAAAACTTTAAATTTTTACCTTGTCAGTACTAGCTAGATTTGCTAAACTTTATTTATTACAACTTTTTTCACGGAAACTCAATTTATATATTCATATTTAACTAGAAAGATCAATAATGGAAAACGTACCTCCATATAAAACTTTGGTATGAGGTATAGTAAGTATTCAATTACACATTAGTGCATCAGTGAATGGAGTCGAAGTTTTGTATGCATTGTGTAAGAGTTTGAAAAATTAAAACTTAAAAAATAATGTATCTTTATTTCTTTATTTAAAACAAAATAAATTTGAATAAATTTGAAAAAAAAAATTTTTCAGTTTTTTATCATTAACTTCTTTTCTTTTTCTTTTATTTATTATTATTATAGTTATTACAAATAATAATATTTTTGCTGTTACTTTTGCTCTCTTAATGAATAAAGTTATTATTGTTGTTATTATTATTTTTTAAATTGATGTGATAAATATAGTTATTTAGTGTCACTACTTTGATCAGGTTTCTGCATAAGTGATATCTTCCTTGTCTATAGATTATTTATATTTATTCTTCATAATGATATTATGATTTATTATTTATAATATTATAGATATTCTTCTTATTATTATTTTTATTATTATTATAATTATTATGTTATTGTAATTATATGAGTTTTGAGGAAAATAAATTTTTTTGATGTAAAGTTCAAAAATCATGTGTTAAATAATTGAGAGTTACTTAAACTTTAGTAAAAACATACTTTAGTAATAAGTTAAACAAAAATCTGTAAACTCAATAATTAAGATAAATGCATTTTTTATAATTCAACTGTGAAAACTTGATTTGAAATAAATTTAAAATATTTGAGAACTATTGAGAAATACTTGAGTTATAAAATGAATCAGACTTCACCTGAAAATATTCAAACAAAAAATTTTCCACCCTATTCATTGCAGGCACGGGTACACTTTTGGGTGACCCCTTCCCAATACCTGCCTACATAACTTATGGATGACACCATGGGAACCAATTTTTACCCCTAAATATTGCTCTCAAAGACTTGATAATAAGCGCACATAATCACGCTTGTTAATAATGTGTTTCAGTTTTACAAGCGCAAAATATTGCTAGGCGATTTTATTTAATACATGCACTGATATATATAGTATATGTATTTTTATATATATATATATATATATATATATATATATATATATATATATATATATATATATATATATATATATATACATATATATATACATACATACATATCTATGTATATATATTATGTATATATATATATATATATATACATATATATATATATATATATATATATATATATATATATATATATATAACACATACATATAATTATATATATATATATATATATATATATATATATATATATATATATATATATATATATATATATATATATATATATATATATATATATGTAATTACATGTATGTGTTTGTATAAATGTATATTATATGTATGTGTTT